TTTTGCCATCTAGCAAATATTTGTTTGGAAATTATATTTTTCTCATCTTTTTATAAAACTTTTGTAGATTTACAATCGATTCTTAACAAAAAGTTTTTATTTATTAAATCATGTTGAAATTTTTGGACATTTAAAATTATACTTAAAACTTTCTTTTTTATAGTACTATAATTATTTTGAGCATTATTCCAAATTCCTGAGGGATACCTTACTATTTGTTCAGGGTTATTTCCTAATTTTTGTTTTAATATTCCTTGATATCCTAGATTAGAGGCATTTGTTTCTACTATTATTTAAGTTTCCAGGTGTGGTATTCCTAGACAAGGTAAGATTTTGACTAGCATTTCTATTACTATCTTAGTCATTTCTGGAGTCCATGATTTTTTATTTTTTCTAAGTCGGTTAAAAAGAGGTTTACATAGTATTCTTATATTGGGCATAAAGTCTGCTATATAGTTTAGACAACCTAGAAACTTTTGTAATTGAAGTTTGTCTTTTATTTCTTTAGGAAAATTTTCAGCAAATTCAATACTTCTTTTTATAAGGGTTATGGTTCTTTGGGTTATTTCATGTCCTAAAAATCTTGTTTTTGTTTGAGCCAATTTTATTTTATTTTGTGATATTATCATTCCATTTGTTTTTATAAGGTTTTTAAATATTTTTAAATATTTTTTATGTTGTTCAATGGATTCAAAGAATATTAATACATCGTCGATATATACTATTGCAAACTTGGAATATGGATTTAGAATGTCATTCATTATTTTTTGAAATTCTGAATGTGTATTTTTTAATCCCATAGGCATTACATTCCATTCATATTGCCCAAATGGTACTATAAAGATAGTCTTGTATTTATCTTGTTCTTTTAGTTTAATTTGGTAATATCCACTTTTCATGTCAAACTTTAAGAATATTGTGGCATTATCAATTCTGCTTATTAATTCAGTTTTGTTAGGCAGGAAATACCTTATCCATTTTAAAATCTTATTTAGAGGTTTATAATTAATTATCATCCTAGGTTTTTTAATTGTTCTTCTATTATTTTATCTTTGATTTCTTATGGTTTGTTTTAGCTTCTATTTTTAATATAAATTTTTCCTCGTTTACTTCGGTGACTATTTGTATTTCTTTATTTTTTATTGGTTTAATAAATTCAAATAGAATATTTTTATGTTTTATTTCGTTTTTGAATACTATAAATGGGTATATTAAGGCTAAGAATGGGGTTCCTAAAATCATTTTTTCACTAATACTTGGGGGTTAATATAAAGGTGTTTTTAAAACATGTTCCTTTTATTATCTATGCTAGCATCAAACAATTTATATTTTACCTTTAATTTTTCAGAATTAGCGGCTTTTGTAAAGTTTTTTCATAATATTTTGTAGGTATTAATTCTTCTCTTATAAAATTTATATCAGTTCCGGAGTCTACTAGAGTTGTGAATTATTTGTAAAAATTATTTCCAATTTTTAACATAACTTTTATATCCCACTTTTGTTGTAATATTTTTAGTTGATTAATTTTTTTAAAGGTTGAGGAGTTGTTTATAGTTAATTTATTATTTATCATGACCATCTTTTCTTTTTGCATCTCACTATTAATTTTTAATTCTATTAGTTGAGTTTTGATATCTTTTACTTCTTCCTTTAAAATGTTTATTTTTTTTTTAAATCTTGTAAATCTACATGTTTTTCTTTATGTATTGCCTTTTTTAGTATTTTTGAAAAGTCGTAACCACTTACTTTTGTTAAGGAAGTCCCGGCTTCTTTCTCAATTAATATTAGGGTTTTTGGTTTATGAAGGTATTCTAATTTATCTACTTCGTTGGGTAGCTTATCTACCATTTCTAAGGCTATTCTATTTTCAGTTGTTAGAACATTAAGATTGAATATGCAGTCATATTTTTCATCACTCTCAGGTTCGTTGGAGTCGATAGAGTTATCCTCCTGGCTACTACTAGTTTTTATTAGATTATTTGATCTTTTACTTCTTTACTCATGTTTAGATTGTGTATTTTTTTCTTGAACTCTGCAATCCTTTTTAATATGCCTCTATCTTTCACATTTATAGCAAATTATTCCTTTCTTTGGATTATTTTAAATATTAGTTGTAGGGGTTTTTTATCTCATTTTGTTTCTAAAATTCCTTAGGTTTTTTCGGTTAATAGTTAAAGGAGTTTTTCTTTTAGCTATTTTTTTATTTTGTCTAGACGAAGAGTCTAGTCTTTCATATCCGTATTAAGTACAAAAATTCCCTAATTCTTTTGTGTCACTTTCTTTTTGTCTTTTAATATTTTTTTCTAATTTTAAATTATTACATATTTCTAAAGCAGTATTTTTAATGGTTAAAATTATTTTCTCATATGTTAGGTCTGGTAAAGGCTCATGATATTTTTGCGATATTTTTTCTCTTATTTTTGTTGCAAAAACTAGGGGCAGTCCAACAATGAATCTTTCTCTCCAAAAATTTTCTTTACAATTTGTTCTAGTCATTACCATTATTATAAAATTATCTACATATCATCTAAAGTCTCCTAAAATAGAACATTTTAGATTATGTATTTTTTCTTTAAAGGTATTTGAATCACTCATAAAATTACGAATAATAGATATTATCAAGATTTCTACCATTAGAAGTACTTGTGTATTTTATATATATATATATATATATATATATATATATATATATATATATATATATATATATATATATATATTACGATATTTTTCTTTCTCACATTCTTAAATGTGTAATCTAATAATATCTCTATTGAAACTAAAATAAATGATACTTAAAAATAAAGATTATTATTTATAAATATTTTCATCCTCAATCTACCAAGACAATAATGACCCTAATAAACTTAAATTTGAAAAAAAAAACTTTTTAAATGAACTCAAACAATTTTTTATACTTGTAAATAATGAAGATATTAATTAATAGTAAAAAATTAATATTCTAAAAAGAGATTATCCATGTAAATACCTCTCTAATTAATTATTTTCATGCGTACCAACAACAACAAAATGCACACCCATAACATGCCATGCAAGATTCAACCACAAAACTCCGTGCAGAAACCATGTGAAATTAATTAAAGTACAACAATAATATAAAGACCATAACTTCATCAATTATAAATATATATGATGAGATGGATAGCTTTTATATAAATATTTATTTTTAATTTTTATTTAAAATTATGCGTAATTTTTTTATATTAATAACATCAAAATTAACAATAATAATAAATGCATGGACGAAAAATATCTCCAAACCAAATGCTTTTGAGAGCTTTCAGCGAGTTGGACCACCAAACACTCTTTTTATGGGCCCAAGACGCGTAAGAATAATAAATCCACCAACTTTACACCCAATACTAAACCTAAAAGGAAATAAAATAATAGTATAACAATTTTTATTATTTATTTTAATTAGTGAGTCTCAATTACAGAATCTTTTTTTTTTTTTCTGTTACACTTACAATCATTAAAATCTTTTGCATAACAATTTAATTCAATAAGTTGAATAAAAAATTTAAAATTTTATCAAAGACAACTTATATCCTTTATAAGAAATGACATTATTTAAATAAATAATCTTCAATAGAGTTTATGCTTATGGCAAGAAATTTTCTGTATAATGGAATAACAAATTTATATATATATATATATATATATATATATATATATATCACTTAAAAGTTTTAAAATAAAATAATATGTAATATAACTGAATATGTCAATAAATAATTGCCTCCAAAAATAAGGGTAAAGCTACTCAACCTAATCCATTAAATAATAATAATAATAATAATAATAATAATAATAATAATAATAATAATAATAATAATAATAATAATAATAATAATAATAATAATAATAACAGAATAAGTATCCTTCAAAATTTCCAAAATTTAAAATAATCAACAACAGATATTTGTAAGAAAGTTCTCTACCAACTTTAAGGACATTTCATAATAACTGCTTTTTCACTTCTTCTTTTTTCTCTCCCAATTCTTCCCACATCTATCATTTTGCCTTTGAAGAAATCAAAATCGATCATGTGACTTGTAAAGGTTTATTAATACAGACAACATCCCTTTAATTTTAGTAGCTATTAAAAAGTAACATAAATATTATAAAGGTATACAAATAAAAATAAAACTTATATCGTAATTTGTTTAAATTTATATAAAAAAATCTAAAATATGAAGTGAAATGTACTTATGATTCAAGTCATGTGATACACGATTTTGCTATAACTCTTCATTAATAGAGTCAGTTTCTAAAGTTTAGGAAAAAAAATCATTTTTCAAAATTGGAAATGTTTTAGTGCGACTTCAACAGAAAGTAAAAGTAAAATATATCTATTGATGTTAGTGTTTTTTTTTTCTTAAAATTTCATAAAATTAGTTTTAAATGGTTAAATATAATATAATTAGAATAATTTGTGTTCAAATTAATCTTAATGTGCATGTAGAAAAACTATTTTAGCATATTGTCCAATTAATACTCAGTCCCAGTTTTTAACGCATAGTAAGAAACTAAGAAGGAAAACAAAAACTAAGTGATAACGGAGAAATAGTTAACTTAAAAAAATTTAGAAGAATAAAAAAATTATTTTCTAAATTCAACTTTTTTTTTTCTCACGTTTTTCTAAAAGTTAAATTTAAAAAAAAAAAAATCTCACGTTTACTTCTCCAACCAAATATACCATGACAAAAAATTGTACCCAACATTAAAAAAAAGGCTAGAAAGAGGATAAAAAATTGCATTTGCAAAGACTAAGATTAAAAAAGAAAAGTAATTGGCAGGTACAAAAAAGAGGGAATGAGTGAGAATCATGTGAAGTGCCGCCACTCTTTCTCTCTCTATCTGTCCCTGGGTCTATCAAAAGCTTCAATCTTTTACAATCCAACAAAACACCCACCTCTGTTTCCTTTTGTTTAAGTTATTCTGAGAGTTTCTCCTTCTTGTTATTTGTGTTTGTTCCAATGGCTGCTGCTGCCCCAAGATTCATCAAGTGTGTGACCGTTGGGGACGGAGCTGTAGGGAAGACCTGCATGCTCATTTGCTACACCAGCAACAAATTCCCCACGGTGTGGATGCTTTCTTCCACATTTTTTTTGCTTTGAAGAGATCAATTTTCTGAATTGCTGCCATTTAGTGTTGTTATGTTGTAACTGTTCACTGTTTGTATATGCATCCTGAATTCTGCTCAGTTCCGTTGAAATCATCTTAATTCGCCTAAAGCAAATTTTTTTTATATGTGTGTTAAATTCATAAAGTAGCCCATTTGTTATCTCGTAAAATTCGATCATTGGGTTCATCTGATTTGACTTTCCCCTATGTTGATCATCAGGACTATATTCCCACTGTGTTTGATAATTTCAGTGCAAATGTGGTTGTTGAAGGCATAACTGTCAATTTAGGCCTTTGGGATACAGCTGGTATACTTACTGACTTGGAATACATTTTTTCTTATTTTCTTTTATTTGGGGAGGGGAGGGGTTTGTGCAACAATGAAAATAGTAAATTAAAGTTTCTTGAGATTGCACACAATACTCCATTTTTTTCTAATTTAGAGTACATTACACTGACTTCCTGTTGTTCAAAATAAAAAATAAAAAACACTTTACATTGAGTACTTCCCAAGAGAGTTCTGGAACCTTAAAATGGTAGTGTTTAGAGTGCAATTGCAATAAACTACAAGAGGTATAAGTCTAATTTGCTCAAATGGAAAATAGGGGTTGATGATAGGATTGTATGTTGAAAGGAAAAGGTTGTTATGTTGTATTTGTTTCCAATATCTTCCTTAGGGCAAGAGGATTACAACAGGCTGAGGCCCTTGAGCTACAGGGGGGCAGATGTCTTTGTCTTGGCTTTTTCTTTAGTTAGTCGCGCAAGCTATGAGAATGTGCTGAAGAAGGTATGCTTCGGTGCTTGTATCTCTGAATTGGTACTTTGATGTCTTGCAGATTTCTCTTTTGTTCTCTAATTTGTATGCACTCTCCAGTGGATCCCTGAACTCCAGCATTTTGCCCCTGGCATCCCGTTGGTATTAGTTGGCACCAAATTGGGTAAGTCACCCTTCACTTGTATTAATGTTTGCCTTACTCTCATGCTAATTTGTCTTTCAATTATTGGTTTTTTGTATATCAATTCTTCGCAAATCATCACCCACATATGAAGAAATGAGGGACTTTAAAACAAAAACTCATCTGTTCCCTTTCCTGATCTATAGAAATTCGCCTGTATTCTAAGATTAGAATCTTCAAACTTTATTTTGCTTTGTAACATATGACCATTTTGTGAAGGTTGGCATTCATGTGGAGTGTGCTCATATGCGCACCTCCCAACTTGTCTATGCATGTCTATCATTGTGAAGACACATTTTAGTTTACAGCTGATTCATCAAATTTTGGTGATCCACTAAGGAAGTTGTATTCAGATATTACAAATGCAGATTGCATGACCAAAAAATTTAACTGCATCGATGTCATGTCTTGTATCATTTATGCCATCTACTCTAATCGGAGTGAAGAAGAACTTGGTGCTATAAGCTTTAAAGGATATTCTCATACTCTAGCTTAATGTTCTAATCCCTTTTATTAATTGATCAATATTGAATCATCCCTCACAACAGGAAGCCTAATCTTTTTCACCAAAATTTGAAAAGTAATAATAAAAAAGTTGGATCATATAGGGAAGACTCATGAAAACTTACAAAATTATTTTATAAATGATTCAAGTTGAGTTAGACTTCATAATGCAGAATGTTGACCATCAAATGTAATATTACTTCTACTCAGTTGAATGGAAGAAAGCTATATTCGAGATTTGGAAAACTATGGCAATAATGAGCAACGTATGCACAAGTGATTAGCGAACTATTAATTTGATTCTCCTTTATATTTATCTTGATTCATTTGACAGTTTGCATAATTTAGTGTTTTGATCGAGCAATTTCTGTCTCCTCGTTCCATACAGCAGACATAATTCACTGCTAGTTCAACAGTTTGCTATTTTATACTTCATTGCATCCTAAAACATTACTTGTGCTGCAGCATAGCTTGTATTTCAGATAATATTTCTCTTGCATGTGCAGTGCAATAGCAAATTAGTATTAGAACAATCAATCAGATTTTAAAAGTAAAAATGGAAAATGAAAACAATGTGGACATCAATGTTCAATTTATGGTGGTAGTTTGACATGCACTGCTACTATGTGTATAATGGGTATGCAGATCTCCGGGAAGACAAGCACTATATGGCTGATCATCCAGGCTTGGTGCCCGTGACTACTGAGCAAGTACAGATCTTCCTTCACTAAATCTGTATAGAGTTCAACAAGCAATGATTTTTAAAAAGTGTTGGCTTTTTTGTTCATTGCTAGGGTGAGGAACTCCGTAAACAGATTGGAGCTACCTATTATATTGAGTGCAGCTCAAAAACTCAGCAGGTATGTTTATAGAGTCCATCATATTCTTGCAAATGTTTGCACATGAAAACATAGAACACATTTACGTATAAAGAAAACTATACTCCCCACCTATGATGCATCTTGCTGAGGAATGCAATTGAAAATAAAATAAAATAAAATATGGTAGGTGGACCCTGTGTCAATGATGCGTAATAATTTAAATCATTCATGCAAAAGTTCAGTACTTCCCTTGTGTTGCTCTCGGGAATTTTAGATCTCTAGATAATTTCAAAGATGCTATATCATCAAATGGATGCTTAGAGCATCCATTAGGGGTGCTAACTAAAACCAAATCTTCTTATTGAGCATCATCTCTTCATAGGAACCATGATTTTAGGTGGTTATTGAGAAGCACTGGTTACTTATACCCTGTACTAGGTGAGGGCCATGGTGTTAACTTTTTATTTGTTAAGGAAACACTATTTTTTTTTTTTTTTAACTTTGAAGTGTAACATTTATTTTTAACGTGATACTCACACTTTAACTTGTAGGCTATACACCAGTTTTTTTTTTTTGGTTACAAATTTAACCTGTAGTCGTTCCACCATGTTTTTAACGTTACAGATATAACTTTTTAACTACTTTTTTATATTTTTAAATAAAATCTGATTGATGAAATTGGGCCATGTTTTTATGATTTAGTTGTTTCATATGTCAAATAATTATGACTTCTTAAAAGAAAATGTTGATGAGATGAGATGTGAGATTACTTGAGGACCCATTTATTAAAGTTTACAATTGTTGAGCTGGAGAAGCGAGTTAACTTCCTTCATCCAACAACTTTTTTGTGACACCTCCCATCTTTTCCGGAATGGGTTCCAAAAACAGAAAGTGCCACAAGAAAACTGTGAAGTGCAGGAAGAAAAACCCTAAAATTATAAAAAAGTAAACTTGGATAGTATCTAATTATGGGATCCATCTGATTTAAGAACCTCAAGAGGTAAAAATGAGTTGTTGGGATTGAGATGGCCTTTATAGAATGTGGAAAATTGCAAAATTATCCAGAAGGTGCCAGTACAGCAATACCATATAGTTCGTTTGCTCATGTGATGTGTTTGTTGTTCAAGGGTCTATTATTGGTGTCTGTCAATTTTGGTATTTTTCATCAATTTTGCAGGTATATATACTTTGATGTTTGAACAAATATTCTGCCTGAAATGAAAATTAATCGTAATACCATTGCAGAATGTGAAGGGAGTTTTTGATGCTGCAATCAGGATGGTCATCAGGCCTCCACAAAAGCAAAATGAGAAGAGGAAGAAAAAACCACGAGGCTGTTTTCTGTCAGTACTCCTTTTCCATATTTTATGTGACAGTTTTGTATGTTTTTCTTATGGGGGGTAGCATTTTTCCTTTGACACCCCACTATTTTCATTTCAACAATTTTATATTTTGAACTCTCATAGACAGTCCCCTCTGGCTATTCTAGTTAATGGGAAAGCTATCCATCCACTTTAGTAGTCAAATATTTTATTAGTTGGTTGTACTTAACCCAAAATTTAATGTGAGAACAACAACTAATAAAATATTTAATACCTGATTAGGTGAGGTTACCAATACTTAAGGAAAATAATTAATAAAGTGGCAACTCGCATTAAACCACCTTAGTATATTAAAGGGGATCCACTGTACTTGTTTGGCGGTTATAGTGTGGAAAAAAATATATATTCACCGGATAAAATTGTATTGAAGTTTGCGCCTTGTTTTCAATGTTATATTACTATCAGGAGCCATGATTAGGTTATAACGGGAGATTGTGAGTAGTTTTATAACTTGTTCTTGGATTTAATCTATCTCAGTGAAAATGCAGAAACGTCCTCTGTGGAAGGAACATTGTTCGACTTAAATGAAACACAGACATTGGTATTTCATCAAAAGGTTTCACGTGCTAGGGGGAGAAGTGTGTTACCGCGGTGTAGAAATATTATAAACTTGACGTAAAAGCATGTGGCTGGAGTTTACAGTATAGCTACTTACATTTGGTTGTTGAACTAAGAAACAGTTGTAAAGAAAGGACGAAGTGAGTTTGTTGGCGAGCTACCATTTATTCAAATTATTTTCTTTGAACGTGATCTAGTTTCAGTGTACATACATCAGAAACTATTATCTGCTAAATTAGCTTTTCAGATAATTAATACAGGCTAGTAGAGCATGCTGTATTATTATATTGTTGATAATCTTTATATAAAAATTCGTTAATACCCATTTAACGTAGGTTAATTCCCAATAGTTTATTATGCATGCTGCTAATTTAAAAAAACATGCTTTGACCCAAGTCCCTTCCCGCCCTCGCCTTCTGAGAAAAACTGGGCCCTTACTACCTGTTCAAAGCCTGAATCAATTAAGAAAAGAAAAACAAACTTTTTACATATTCTTCTCTACGAACGCTTAAGAAAAAAATTAATATTTTAAACTAATTTGGTAAAAACATCGCCTAGAACTTCCTTGAAATTTTATTTTTAAAATATACATATGTATATAAAAAAAATAGTTTAAAACAATCATTTATTTTTCTCTTTTAGAATTAGAGAAGATAGAAAATCATTACCTTAATACAACAAAAAGAGTATTAAGTACTTTTTAATTCTTTATCGAGTATAATTAGTAAGAATCGAACCATTAATCTAATTCCGCTTTAAACCAATATCCCAACACTCAAAATGAAATGGCATCGAAAATTCTTACCGTACATTACACAACAAAAAGAAAAAGTATGATATACAGACTGGGAGATTTAGACAGTTCCAGAAAAATGACAATGTCTTCTAAATTTAGTCTCCTATTTTCTCCTTATCTCTTAAGATGAGTTCCAATACATTCTCTTTGTTTGCTAAATTAAAATTAGTGTTCTTGGTTTTATTAATATTGAGCACAAAAAACTATTAACCTAATTTTGCACAACTCAACAAAAAGAATTTCCAGTAACAATGAATACATGACGTTAGCTAAGGTTAGCGATAGCATCCGGTTGCAAATATCACAAAATCAAGGAGAAATGATACCAAAGAATTCAATGATTAGATGTGACGTAAACTGGTATACAGCAAACATATATCTATCACAGCAGAGCAAGAAACTCAGCTGCCAAAATTTGTTCGTCCCCAGGCCTAACTAACATCTATTTGTATGCGTGTGTGTGTGAAATTCAAAGGAAAAGGTTTTAATTTAGCATCTGAACACAAAAGTACGATTTCTACTTGAAGCAGTTACCCAACTACATTACTGGAAGGGATGAGCAGGGAAACTGTAGGTCCACTAGATACAGATGCAACAAGTATTGTCCCTTATATACAAAGGAAAAACTGATCTGGCCACCTAGAACATGATGTAGGGACAAACAGTTACCCCCCCCCCCCGATAGATTCCTTTAGAATGTGATAAACTAAAGAAATGGGGGCCAGATATTACCAACATAAAAAATCAGGCGCTCACTTACCACCCAATTCTCCCAAAGCAAAAACTAGATGATCTTTGAATTGACCATTGCCCATCCTCAAATCACTGAAGACAACACATTTAATATACAAACTATTACTTAAGCAAGCATGACAACATTTCATTGGGAATATCACCAAATAAACATGAAAAAAATTTGTGAAAAGAAAACTAGCAAGAGCAATGAAAAATATGAGCCAAGGTAGGCTGCAAAAGAGCAGGATTTCTCAATGAAAATGGGACAGAAGACTGCCCAGAGAGAAATTGCAATAGCATTTATTCCATTATCATTTAAATATATTTCTTAACGAAAAAAGTAACAACCTCCACTGAAGTACATCAGCATGACACAGGATATATTTTCAGATCTTCTCCCACAAGTGACCAAGTGTTACAAACATTTGAATATACAGAACTAAACACTTACAAGCATTTGTGGTCATCAGACTGTATGATTATAGATTGCTATTGCCATGAGGATTGGTTGTAGCCATCCCACCCACTATCAGGCTCCTTCCTCTTACGAACACTACCCGCAAGCTGGATCCTAGCTTGCTCCTCGGCTAGGGCCTGTGAACTAGCAACAGAAAGTTGCCTTGATGGAAGAGGCGAACTCTCATCTCTCCCCTCCACGTCTGAACACCCAGGTCCAGCATTGAGATCTAAACCCTGCCTTGTCCACTTTCTACTGGTCTCAGCACTACCACTACTGCTACCTTCTGTAAGACCAACAACATAAGGCCTGGGGTAATGAGATGAAACCGTGCCAGCAGGTCCCATTAACTGTGAATTTACTGCAGGGAAGCAAAGCCGATTGGCTGATGTTGGATATACATAAGTAGTTGATCCAGCAGAAAAAGAAGCTGATGGAAGAGGAAAGCTGGAGTTAAAAGGGAAGACAGGATATTCAAATGGAGTAGATGGATATGACACTGCAGGAGAAGATGACAATACTGGCGCCCTATAAATATCAGGTCCAAATGGGTTGCCACCACCAGCAGGAGTCAACAACCTTTGTGGCCCATTTGGGGCAACAATTGAAAAGGGCTGATCCCCTCTATCAGGCATAATTGAAGATATTGTGACAGCAGAATAGGTGTTGCCACTGGAAGGAAGCCAAGAGAAGTTGCCTGGCTCAGCAGTAGCCACTCTAAGCCCAGAAACAGGTAATTGAGATGGCACACTGCTCCTGGCATGCTGAGAGAACAGTGAGGATTCAATGGTAATTTCATCAACAGAAGGCCCATTGTTCAAATCAAAGTCCCTGTGGACATTCACTTCTCTATTTGGTGGACCACCAAATGATGACTTCACCTGCATAGTTGGCACATCAAGTTTATGATTACTACTCAAGCAAATGCCCATGTCGGAAGCTTCATCCGCTTGGTTTAAGTCAAGACCAAGCCCTCCAGAGCAGCGAACAGGAGAAACTTTATTACTGCATGCAGGATCATGACCATCAGTTGCAAGAGATATAGAGTCTGTGTGACGAGCACAAGAAATATCATCAAGTGTTCTTTCATCAGCTACATTTAAGTCAATATCCAATGGTGCTCGACTCTGCTTTCCAGCTGGAGCATCAGGAATAGAGGTTGTTGATGTACTAAGAGGCATTTCCATAACTTTCCTAGGTTCAGCCGGCCTGAATGCACTGGTGGCAGCAGATCCCTTCCACCCAATCTCCCCTTTATTTTTCAATAAATCTTCAGGAGGCACAAAGAAACCCTTTGCAGCAGATGCCACAGTGACTGGGGCAGGGATACCGCATAACATAGATGAAGCAGGAAATGGCACAGGACTGATCAATCGACCGGCAGGTGCACATCCAGAAGTGGCAATGCTGTTGAACTCACATCTTCCATCATCTGCATTCAGCCCTTCATTTAAATCAAATTCAACCTTTGCATCCGCATCGGACACAGCTGCAGCAGACATGGAAGAAGCATCTGCAGTGGTTGAGGTGCACTCCTCAGCCTCGTCTACTTCTGTGGTAGTCAATTTTGGTCCTTTAGAATCAAGATGCTTATCCATTTCTTGTGAACGATCACTAGGTGAATCTTTGGGAAGATCCTCTCTGGCAGGATGGTCATGAACCTCCTTCGTTTCTAAATTCTCCTCCACATGTTCAGCAACAAGACCAGTCACAGTTGAACATAAACCTCTATTCTCAGGCATCGTCACAGCATCACTCTCAGACTCATTTCTCTGATTTTTAGACTGACTAACATGGTTCTCAGTATCAGCATCATCAGCTTTTTCAGATTCCTGTTCATTGAAGTCTTTAGGAACCTTATCAACACTATAACCAGAAGAATGGAGTACATTCTCATCTTTTCCTCTAGCCAAGTCAGACTGCACAACAGTAGCAGGAGGCTTTTTAACTATCTGTCCACCACCACTTGATCCTTCAGCAGTACAGTTATCATTCTGTACATCCACTTCCACAGCTGTATGTGACAATTTTTCAGCTGCTTCTGCCTCAACTTCTGCAACACAACTGACCTTATCATCAAGAATTTCACCAGTATTCACTCCCTGAACAACATCATGGGGCTGCTTGCTTCTGTCACCATCTCTAGCTTCTTGTACGGAATTTTCACAAAGGCCACCTGGGGAAGTAGGTCCAGTTTTTTCATTAAATTTTCCTTTGCTTTCCAAAATAGTTTCAGCAACTTGATGCAAATCCATACCACATGCACTTGCATGCTTATTTAGCTCTCTTGCAGCTTTCCCTCCAGATGCTTGAAAATCAGAATCACTTGCATCATTTGCCCTTAAATCGCCTGTTGCAGAACCCAGATTCTTATGCTCACCATCTAGACCATTATTTGAGTGGCATTCATCCCGAACAATATTTTCTTCAGAGGACTTAACACCATTGTCTGTGCATGACTGTTCAACAGCAGTTGTGTTTCTTTCTGGAGATCCAGCTGGAGTTAACAATTCGGATTTCAATATCTCTCCAGCAGCCACACTAGCAAGAAGATTCATTCCAACATCATCAGCTTCAGAGTACTTAACACCTTCAATTAAAGCATTTATTGAGCTGTAAGAAGCATCCTGCAAATTGCCAGTTTTGTTTTCATTTCCAGATGATGATGAAGCAGCTTTTGATACTTCAAATGCTTTCTTACAATCATTGCCAGTGCGACATTGCTCTTCATCGGTAACTGCCACAGGTGATCCATCACCCTCATCAGAGCCAGTCAACACGTCTTTAAAATCATTACTCTGCCAAGATTCAGTATTAATATCTGAGCCAATATTCACTCGATAAAGGTCACTTTTTTCCTTTGAGCTGTGATCAGACTGATCATGCTTCTCTAGAACAGGAGATGAGGCTCGACTATTCATGATTGTAGGATCATCAAAAGAACCAGCACTGGCACTCTGTGCAGGACTTCTACCTTGGTTT